CGTCCGCTCACCTGATTCTCGCAGCGAACGGTGAGCGGTGATTTCTATGGCGGCGGGTCGAGGGCGGGCAGGAGAGAGATGGCGGTTCGGCCCGCCGCAGCCCGCAGGGATATGTGCGTGTTTTGTGGAACGAGTCGTCATGAACGCGGGGTCGGCCACGATCGGCGGCGGCCGGCCGAGAGTGCGCGTGGTGTGGCGGCGTAATGGGCAGGCGGCCATAAGGGGCAGATATTCTACTCCAGGCGGCGGTACCATGGAAACAGGTGGCCGAGTGTGTCCGCCGCCGCCGAAGCGCAGGGACGAAGCATTGACGTCGTCACGAACGTGCTGCACTTTGTCGAGCGGCATGACGACGCGCCTTTCGGCGCCCGTTTGCGGGCCGGACCTGCTCAACTCTTCAGCGAAACAACGGCAGCGAGCACTCACCGCACACTAAGCAAGTTGCCGCCGTCGAGAGGAAAAGAATTCTTAAGATACAAGCCTCTCTCACAGCACACTGGCACGACAAGGGCACAGACTGGCGCGGACTGGCACACACACAGCCGAGGAAAAGAATTTCGAGGACGCGGGTCGGCGCTAAAACCGCCGTCCCAACCACCGCGGGCAGGCGCTCCACCTCGTGTTCGATCGAGGGTTCCACGTGAGCGTTCCCAGACCGCCCTGCTGGAAGTAGGCCGCAGCCTAGCGAGCGTGTAAGGTGCCTATATCGTATATGGGCTTCCAGTATCGGACCTTCAAGACATGCGCTTTTGGCCGGTTGCCTCCTCGGAGACATGGTACCTCCGGTGAGATAGTGGCTGCCAGTTCGAGACTGGGGCCGATCGAACTTGAGTTGTTCGGAGGAGAATCCGGCCAGCACGGGTACAAAGAGGGGTACCCGGAGAATCCCCAGCTGCGGAAACGTAGTGTCGCTCAAGAGGTGCGATGGGCTTCCAGTATCGGACCTTCAAGACATGCGCTTTTGGTCGATGGACTGAGCCGCGCACTTTTTCTTCTCAAAGACGCCGTGCACGGCGTGTCGACACAGCTCTCGAATATGTCGTCGACTCCCCTGTGGACGGGCTCGTACATCGAAGGCCACGGCGCCTGCCGCGTCGGGAGCCTCGCCAACTCGCTGCCCGGCCACTTCGACGAGAAGTGGCGCGTCGAGATTGCGGAGTGCAAACGGCTGTGCGACAGCCACCGCTGGTGCGAGGCTTTTGAGTACGGCTCCGCCACAGGCTATATGCGATGCGAGCTCCACCGAATCCTCCCGACGCACGCGCTGCCGATGCCGTCCTACACCTGCTTCGTCAAGGACACGCCGCCGGCTCGCGTGCACTGGGGAGGCAGCAGCAGCCAGGGAGGAGGCAGCACGGCCGCCGCCACCAGCAGCGCTCTCGTGCCGCCTCCGCTCTCGGCGCCGTCGCCGCTGGTAGCGCCACCGCCGCCGCCTGCCCCGCCGCCGCCGCCGCCGCCTCCGGCCCCCGGCATGCCGGGCAACGCGCCCCGGCCACCTCAAGTTCTGCCTCAAGTTCTGCCGGTGGCTTGGTCGCACCAAGGAGTCCAGACTGGCGGAGGGGCGGCGGGATGGCAGGGCGCGTCGGGCGGCGGCGTCGGGTCGGGCAGCGTCGCTGCGATCGGCGGCGGCATCGCTGCGCCCGGCGGGACGCTGGGCGCCTTAGCCTCGCCCGCCTCTGCCTCGCCCGCCTCTGCCTCGCCCGCCTCTGCGAGTCGCTTCCCGACCGCGCGTCGCTACGGCACCGCGATCGGCAGCACGGGCACGGGCGCGGGCTCGCACAGCGCCGATTGCACCGTCAGCCCGTACAAGGACCTGCGCCGCTGCGACTTTACCGGGCAGAGCCTCTACCTCGCCAACTTCGAGCACGGCGTCGCGGACCAGCTGGCGCTGGTGCGAGCGGACCTGACGTACGCGAAGCTGGACTACCCTAACCCTAACCCTAACCCTAACCCTAACCCTAGGTGCGAGCGGACCTGACGTACGCGAAGCTGGACTACGCGCAGATGCGCGACGCCGACCTGACCAACGCAACCTGCCGGCACGCGACGACCTCGCGGGCCCTCGGGGGGGAGGGGGGGGGGGGGGGTGCACGGGCTCCTCACCCAGTCGAGTCGGTGACACAGGAGCGAGCTCCACTAACCCTAACCCTAACCCTAACCCTAATCCTCACCCAGTCGGGTCGGTGACACAGGAGCATGCTCCATGCCCATGGCTCCATGCCCACATGGCTCCATGCACAGGTACGCGAGCCTCAAGTCGACGAACCTGAAGGGCGCGACCTTCGACGGCTCGGACCTGACGCAGGCGCTGATGGAGGGGGCCACACTCACGGACGCCTCCTTCGTCAACGCGACCGCCGGCGCCGTGCGGCCTCGACGGGCGCGACATCTCCCACACAGACACGTCCCTGACGCGTCCCAGTGACGTGGCCGCACAGGCTCCGCCGTTCTCAAGGGCGCGCTCGCCGCGAACGCCAACTTCGCCCGCGCCATGCTCAACAATGCCGAGATGGAGACGCTGCAGGCGCCGGGGGCGCGCTTCGAGTATGCGAGCCTGATGTACGCCGACTTCTCGAAGAGCAACTTGCGCGGTGCAACCTTCGTCGGCACCGTCTTCTCCTTCACCTCCTTCAAGGAGGCGGACCTCACGGGCACAAACTGGATCCGCGCTTCGGGCCTCGAGACGTGCGACTTCACAGGCGCAATCTCCGCACCGTACGTCCTCGCCACGGTCGTGCTGCCGCCGCCGCCCCCGCCGCCCGAGGAGCCGGAGCTGCCGCCCGGCCTCTTTTTCCAGTACGCCCCGCCAGCGCCCGCGGCCGCAGCGCAGACTCGTCCCGGCTACGGCCCCGGAGGCGTGCGCGTGGTCACGCGCCCGCCACCCCCGCCGTACGCCTACGTCTACGGCGGCGCACCCACCACGACCGCGCCCGCAGCCACACCTGCAGCAACGCCCGCAGCAGCGCCCGCAGCCACGCCCGCGGCAGCGCCCGCAGCGAGCCCGGCCGCTTACAATTACCTGTACAGCGCGGGCTCGTACCCCCAATTCACGGGCCGCTGAGTAAGAGAGAGCAACTCGTGGGACCAGCACGTGCACATGCTAGCAACATGTGTGCGCGTGTGTGCTACGGCCCCACAGTCCCCACAGAGTCAGTGTGCGAGATGTTTCTCTCTCACCTCTCCGTGTCTGTGTCCGCTGCTGTCTCGCTGCCTGGTGCCTCGCGCAGGCACCTTGCACCATAATCCAATTTCCGTATGTACGGCTTAAGCGCGCCCCCGCGCGTAAAGCCGTACTGCGTAAGCCGTAACACACACGACGACATCGACAAACACAAATTGACAAATATTGCGGGAAGCAAAGTGTACACGCACGGCACGGCTTTACACTGTCACTGATCGCACGGGGCACGGCAGGCCACAAGCGGCCAACGGCCTCACTTGACGCGTCTCACTCACAGGTTCTCACACAACCGATTACGTCATGTCTCATGATCCACGCCGCACTGTCACCGGCACCGATCGGTCCGCCCAACTTGCTCCTCGAGAAACGACGGCGGGTCATCGCGACTCCTCGCCCGGGCTTTGCGAGAGACGAGTCTCTCAGAGAGGAGAGGGCTCACACGGCGGCTCCAGCGCACAGGTCGGACTCGATCTCCTGCCAGCTGAGGTCGTGTGAGCAGGGGCTCGGCAGCAGCTGCGGGCTGGCCAGCTGCCGCGGGCTCGCGCCCAGGCTCGCGCCATCGCCTTTTGCGCCCGCCGTCGGCGTCGCGGAAGGGTCGAGGTAGTGGTGGTTGGGGTAGGGGTGCGGGTAGAAGCCGCCGGCGTAGACGGGTGCGCCCACGTGCTGTGGCATGGCGGCGTGGGCCATGGCGGGGTGGGCACCGCGCGCAAGGCCGGCGGCGTGCGCGGCGTGAGGGTGCAGCGGCGCGGCGGTCGGCCGGTCGTTCGCCTGCGGGACGCGTGTCACGGACGTGTCACGGACGTGTCCACACGGACACCGGGAGTGGAGGGTGTCGCTGCTGCGGGGTGAGGGCCAGGCCGGCGCGCGCCTGCTGCAGCTCGCGGAACTCAAAGTCGAACTGGTCGGTGGGCGGGCCGGCGTCGGGCGCTGCCGCGGCCGGCGGCGCGGCCGGCGCGAAGGCAGGGTCCATGCAGTCTTGGCCGAGGCCGATGCTGCTGAGGGTGGCGGAGAGGCCGGTCTTGAGCTGCGGCCGCGGAGGCGGCGGGAGCGTGAAGTAGGCTGGAGCAGAGCCTGGCGGGAGAGCGGCGGCGGGAGGGTAGCCGCTCTCGCCGCCGCCTGCCTGGCCCTGGCCGGCTCCGCTCCAGCCCTCGCCGCCGTTCGCGGGAGGCATGGCCGCAGGGCACGGCGCCTGCGGCGGGTACCCTTGCGAGGGGGGGTACCCTTGCGAGGGGGGGTACCCTTGCGAGGGGTGGCCGTCGTACGCGGCGCCGTAGTACCCTGCGGTGTACCCTGCGCCTGCGTAGTAGTAGCCGCCCGCCCCTGCATACGCCACCAGCGGAGGCGGCCCTGCTCCTGTCCCGACGCCTGCCCCTGCCATCCCGGCCCCTGCCATCCCGACTCCTGCCACAGGCGGGTAGGCGCCGCCCTGTTCCTGCGGCCTCGGGAGCCTCGGGAAGGCGCTGACGCCCGGCGGCTCTCGGCCGAACGCAGAGAGAGACAGGGCGCCGTCCCCGGCGGGAAGGTGCTGCGCCCAGAAGGGCTGGCCCCCCGCGACCGCAGCTGCCCTCTGCGCGCCCCAGGACGGCCCCGTAGTAGCCGGAGGAGGGCCTTGCCACAGCTGGTCCCCTTGCGGGCGGCCCTGCTGAGGCGTCTGCTGCGGGCGCGCCCGCTGCTTGGGCCGGCTCTGCGGCGGTGCCACGGGCCGCGCCGCCGCCTCCTTGATGCGCTGCGTCGCGTACGCGCCGAGTTCGGCGCCCTTTCGGACGAGCGCCTCCTCGCCCTCGACCGCCTCGCTCGAGAGGGCGGGGCAGACGTGGCCGCGCTTGGGCTGGCCGCACCGGCGGCAGCGGTAGCCGAGGATGCCTGGAGGGGGGGGGGGGGGGGGGGGAAGCGCGGCGCTGCGGAGAGCCAGCGGAAGGCGCGGGGCACGCACACCCTTCGACTGGTTCTCCTCTCGCATCTCCAGTGCTCGCTCCATGCGAGTCCAGCGGTTGCGCACGCCGTTGTCCGTCCGGCCGGGGAGGCACCTGCGCGTCGTCGCGGGGAGCGGTGCGGCTCTCTCTACCGCCTGTGGCGACACACAGTCTTGTCCCGCACGGCGACAACACGCCCCCCTCGCCCTCTTCTACCTATAGCCCTCTACAGCGGAGGCGCGCTTGGCGATCGCCGACCAGCGCTTGCCGGACTGCTGAACCATCTGAAGGATGACGAGGTCCTCCTCGACCGTCCAAGAGGGCACGCGGCTGCTGTCGCTGCGTAAGCTGCGCCCTCCGCCCCAGCCCCGCCCGCCGCCTCGCCCCGCCCGCCGAGGCCTCGGCGCCGACCCGTTGTCGTCTTGGTCGTCGCTGAAGGGCAGCGCCGCCCCCTCTTGGCCGAGGCCCGCTTGCTGCGGGAGGCGGAGGGCCTCGAGGTCGCCGTCGAGGTCCTTGTCCGGGCTCTCGAGCGGGAGGATGGCCGGCGAGGGCAGCAGGGAGGGCAGGCCGCTCGAGCCCGCAGGGTCGGCCGTCGCCTCCTCGCCGCTGCTGCTGCCCCCGAAGACTGCCTGCCGCTCGTTTGCCGTCGCGGCCACCTGCGCCTGTGGGGACGGCGCGGCGATGGGGGCGAGGGGAGGAGGCGAGGGGGAGGAGGCGGGAGCGGCGAGAGGGCGGCACCTTGAAGGCCTCGAGTTGGCGGAGCACGTTCGTCTCCTGCTGCGGCTCCGCCGACGCCTCGGGGTGCTCGCCGACCGAGGCCGCAAGAAAGCCCACGCCGCGGTGGGCGTCCGGCGCCTGCGGCAACGTACGCACACGGGCACTCGCGCCGGGGTGGCCGCGGTGGCGGCAGGGAGGCAGCAGGGACCCCCGGCGCGCGCGAGACTCTGCTTGGAGCTTGCCGTCTGTCGTCGTGTGGGACAAACACCCTCTCGCCGATAGCTGACTAGATGCGCACCTCCCCGGCGTTGCCTTTGGCTGCTGCCGTCGCGGCGACACCGTCCCCTGCGGCCACCTTTTTGTGGACCGGGCTAGGCAAAGGCGAGCAGAAGTTGCCCGCGGCTCCCGCCTGCGGCTCACACACTGGCCGTGTGCGTGTTTGCTTAACGGCGTAGCCCGAGACGGCGTCCCCACTGCCGATGAGGGAGGCCGCAGCACCGCGGTCGGCGCCGACCTCGATCGAGAGTTCCCGCATCAAAGGCGTTCGCTTCCAATCGACTGAATCAAGGACACTGTCTGAAGAAAACCCCTGGCTATGTTCTCATTGGTGTCCAGTCCGAGCCTGGCTGTTCTTCACCTTTCTACCTACCTACCTAGGTGGATATCCTTTGGCCGCGTTACATCTACAGCTCTACAGCGATAAACTCGAGGGACCAAAATACGCGGAGAGGAGGGCGGAGTTTTACGCAGAAAGGCGAGAGAAGCAGCGAGAGCAAGAGATCGGCAGACGACAGCGGCTCAGAACGAGGCCGAGGAGAGCGATGAGTCAGGGGAAGAGACAGCAGGAGAGAGAACGACGAGAGTGGGAAGAACGCGAGGTGGCATGAAGGTCGCTGCGAGAATTGGTGAGAAAAACTGCGAAGAGAGATAGGAAGTGGTAGACGCCCGAGGGTGGGCGACGGCTAGCACCACACTTCTCCCCTAAAATCCCTGTGTGGTGGCGGCGTGCCGTCCTCCCATCCCTCCCTTGGGTTGTCTGTTTTCTTTCTTTCTTTTTCAGCTCTACAGCGCTCACAGCTCAGTGCTCTAGGTACACTCTACATACATGCTCTTCATGCACCCTCCCTTCAGGCGAAAGCCTGGCCTGCCTGTCTCCTGCCTGTCTGTGTGTCGCGTTTTGTCGCGACGATGTGAGGGACCGTGAACATCTTTAGCTTGTGAGCCAGGAAAAGGGTTGTAGATATGCAGGCAGTTGTAGAGGAGAGAGAGAGAGAGATTTTTAGCAATACCAAACAACTCTAACACTCACACATCATTTGGGGCCTGGAGCCCTGTTTGTTTTGTTTGTATATGTATAGAGAGAGAGGGCACACAACACACACACACACACAGACAGTCACACACACACACACACACACACACACACGCACTCCCGGGGACTCTTGGAGCAGAGCCGCGGGGCGAGCCCTCGAGGGTCCTCGAGAGGGATATCCCGGGGTGGGAGGGCCTCTACCGGCCAGGGCGAATGCAACCTGGAAAGAAGTGGAGCTGCGACGGGAAGAAGCTCCTGGAAACCGCAGGTCCGTCAACTTCACAAGATTCACGTCACGCGCTAACCAAAGAAGGTGTGCTTCGCCCTCCTTACGCCGCAGACGTTCCACAGTGCGCGCCGCCGCCGCTGTGGGGAGAGGCGGTCGATGGGGCTAGGGTTGACCCTCACCGTCCGTCGCAAGAAGCCGGCGGTGGTCGTCAACTCGCAGGGCAAAGGGCAGACCGGTCCGGCCGACCCGCTTGCAGGGGTCGAGAGCGTGCAGCCTGGGCGGCTCAGAGACAAGGAGCTTGAGCGGCTCGACAAGATTCAGGCGATTCGCAACAGCTCGAGCGTCGCCGACACCATCATCCACACCTCCCTCGATCTCTCCGACGCCTCCTCCGAGCCCTCGACGAGCTCGCGGAGCAATGCGCACATCACTCTCGGCAGCGGCGCAGCCAGCCCCGACGAGGCTGTGGCAGCCTCCGAAGCGCCGAGCCGAGGCCAAGCGCCACCCGAGACCGCGGCGTCGATTGAGCCAGCCGTCGCCGTGTCCAAGACGACCCAGGCTCCGGCCTCGTCCCCGTGCGCGGCGCGCGGCGCCGGCGCCGCCGGCTCGAGGGCCGCACCTCCCAAGACAAACCCGCCGCGAGAGGGGCAGCGTCGCGATCCGGCCGCGCCGCTGTTGAAGACGTACGCGACGCCACCGCCGAAGCGCGCCGTGCCGGCTGGGAAGAGCGCGTCTGAGCGCGGGCGAGGCGACTCGCTCCCGACGCCTTCGGCCTGGGCCGGCGGTGGCGCTGCGGTGGGCGGGGCCAGCGGTGGCGCTGCGGTGGGCGGGGCCAGCGGTGGCGATACGGCTGCGGCGGGCGATGACCGATACGGCACGGAGCAGCTGGAAGCCGAGGGGGGGCTGCTCGCCACGCTCGCGAAGGCCGCCAAGGCGATCGGCATGGAAGAGCACCTCGACGCGCTGCTGCAACACGCGAGCCGGGCCAAGCAGACGGCCAGCGGCTTCACGCGGCTGCAAGAGCCGGGCGCTGGCGGGGCGGTGTCCGACAAGTCGGCGGCGGCCAAGCCCTTCCAGGCGCAACTCAGCGAGCTCCTCTCCCACTACGGCGTGCCCAGCTCGAAGCAGTCCCTGGCGAAGTGGGTGCAGGGAACGGTTCGGAAGTGCGTGGATCGCACGCCGTGCGGCAGCGCCCTGCGCTCGGCCTCGAATGCGCGTCCTCGATGGCTGTCAAAGTGCCTACCCAAGCCGGGCGCGGGCTCCGCCTCGAAGGCACCCGAGCCGCAGTTCCGCGACGCTCTCGACCACGTGGGGAGGCAGCAGCGCGAGGGGATCGAGATCCTCCGGAGAGCGCGCCGCGCTGTGGCTGGCGTGGGAGCCGCTGCCTGAGCGCCGCTGCGCGGCGCCGACGCCGCCCTGTCCGCGCAGGCGCCGGAGGAGGGGGCGGTGCGGACGGGAGGGAGGAGGACTGCCACTGCTCTGCTGGGAGGCTGACTGCTCGAGCAGCACGCCACTCGCGGACCCCCCCCCCCCCCCTGGCTAGGATACCGCACGCGTCTCGAGCGAGCCCTGAGCCTCGCCCGGCTGCCCGCCTCTTCTGCCCTATCGGGGAGCGAGATGTTGCATTGTTGTGGTTATTGTGGTTGCATGTGTTCTTCCATTCCTCTCTGTCAGATGCCGCCGTGCGCGAGCATTGTTATGTTATTCAGGCTGCATTTTTTCTTTTCAGCGACTCTTGGTCTGGCGCGGCCACAACACGACGCCACCAGAGCCATGGCCTCATTACGTCTCCTGAGGCGCGGCTTCTGCACGGCGCCCGCAGGCTTCGCTCAGCCGAGCCGCGTGTGGGGGAAGAGCAGCCTGCGGTGCGCGTGACGCCTCCGCGCTTTGCCCGCTGGAAGCGCACACGCTCCCTCCTCACGTCGCGAGTGGCGCCGGCTGCGCAGGTGTGGTGCGTTGGGCATGAAGTGTGGGATGACGCAGGCGTGGCAGCCCGACGGCAAGGTGGTGCCGCTCACCATCATCGAGGTGCAGGACGTGCAGGTGGTGCAGGCAAAGCGCGTGCCGACCTCAGAGGGAGAGGGGCTCAACCTGCAGCTGGGCAGCGGCTGGCAGAAGCGGAAGCGGCTCAACCGGCCCGACGCCGGCCAGTTCGAGTCGCGCGGCCTGCCCCTCAAGCGCTACTTGCGCGAGTTCCGCGTCTCTGAGGATGCGCAGCTGCCAGTCGGCATGCGGCCAGCCCACGCGCCACAGTGCCTGAGGAAGCTTGCGTGGGATCTCCTCGGAGCCTTCCTCTAGGCACGACCATCTGCGCGCGCCACTTTGTGCCCGGCCAGTTCGTGGACGTGCAGGGGACGAGCAAGGGGAAGGGGTTCGAAGGCGTGATGCGCCGGTACGGCTTTGCAGGGCAGCCGCGCTCGCACGGCCACTCCCTCTCTCACCGCAGCGGAGGCTCGCTCGGCGGCGCCGCGGGCTCGCTGTACGCCACGCGCGTCATGCCCGGCAAAAAGGCGCCCCGCCCCGCCCCGCCCGCCGCGCTCGTGCTTGCGCCGACTCGCCGCCGCCGCCGGCTCGCAGATGCCCGGCCGGATGGGGGGCAAGGTGCGGACGGCGCACTCGCTGCTGGTCTACCGCGTGGACGCGGAGCACGGGCGAGCAGCGCCAGGGGAGGGGAGGGGCCGAGGGTCGCGGCTCGAGCAGCCCGCCCCCGTGTCCGCAGGCTGGTCTACCTGAAGGGCACGATCCCAGGCGGCAAGGGGTCGCTTGTCCGGCTCAAGGAGCGCCTCTATAGAAGAGAGGGGGGTGGGGGCGGGGGGAGCGTAGGAGCTGAGTCACGAGGGCTCGCTCGTCCTCCAGGACGCGACGCGCAAGCGGATGGACACCTCCGGCAGAGGGCACCACCGCCTCCCTCCCTTCCCCACCTGGCTGCCGGGCGACGACGAGACAGGCGCAGAGACGAGCCGCGTCACGAGCCACACGCGCGCACGCCTCCCAACGCCCGCGCCGTTGGTTGCAGGTGGCGATGTGACCGAGGCGCCGCTCGCGCGTCCTTTGTGATACAACACTGCGTCTCGGAGCATGCAGGAAGGAGACGAGAGATGCCGTATCCTGGCCTCGTCGTGTGGAATCCTCGTGTGGAATCCCACTCTCTCTTGACGCGTTGCGGCCGCAAGCCGCACCACGCGCGCGGGTGGCAAGCTGGTGGCGAGCTCGAGCGAGCCGGCGGCGCAATTGTGTCGTACATGTACAGTGCGCGGCTGCAAAACAGTAGGAAACTAGGGTCTTGCCTCTTGCTCTCGTTTGTTCTCGCGGGTCCTCGCTCTCTATAATATATGTAGCTCTTGTGAGTTGCGCTGTCCCCCCGGAGCGGTCGCCCGGGTGAACCGTGTCGGCGTGTGGAGGGCGCGCACAGGCTGTGGCCACAGGGGTCTCCCGCGTAGGGGGTGCGCAGCGCCCCAAAATCCACCACTGTGGGATTTCGCGCAATCGCGTGACTCTTGAAAAGCTCGCCTATCCCTGCGGTGAGCGCTGTGGTCGCCGCAGACTGGCTCCGACTTGACGGGGGCATGGAGACGTGATGCCTCCATGCCCCCGTCGAGTCAAAATCGACATGCGAGGCGATCTTTGGCCCGCCAGAGGGATAGGCGGCGTTTTGGGCGACAAACAGCGCTGCGACCGCGAAGTGGCGGTGGACATGCTCCCATGTTGCCGACGCGGCGCCGGAGTGGCCGGCGCTGCTCGCCGCGACCACGACGGCTACTCTGATGCTCCGGGCCGACCCGTCCTACCCGACGGTGGCACTCTTCCACGTCTCGCTCACGCTGAGAAAAAATCTGAAACGGCGTGCAGCAGAGTCACCAACGAGTCGGTCCGCGTGACTCCTCGTGTCCCGTACCGTTCTCACACATCCATAAACTCACTTTGGCCTCACTGAAGCGATGCCTCAATCCTGAATCCTGAGATTTTAGATTAGGGACGCTGCGCACCTTCTACCGGGACTCCCGGTGTCCGGCTCTCTGTCAGTGAGAGAGTGAGAGTCAGAGTGTCACTGACACTGTGAGGGGCGCGGGGCGGAAGGATATATTTAAGCGTTCACATTATAACAATCAGATGTACCCACCGCCACGCTCGGTTGCGCCCTGCAAGAACTCTCCGACACACGAGAATAAACACATGGTTCACGGACCGCAGGAGCTCGCGCGAGGGCGAGATATAGGCTAGCCGAACTGCCCTTCCGGCATGCGCTCAACCTGGTACTTCCGCTCCTTGATCGAGATGAGGGGCACCCCCGGGATCTTTCGTAGTCGTCGCTTCAGGTCCCGGTCGCACCTGAGAGTGGCAAGGCGCAAGCGGTCGCGGGCTGGACGCGGGGCCGGCCGTCGCGGGCGAGGGCGGGCGAGGGCGGGCGAGGGCAGGCGAGGGGGCGCGAGCGCACGTGGCGACAATGTAGATGCGGTGCGCGGTGACCCGCTCGACGAGGTCGTCGTCAGCGTATTCGTTGCCTTGCCTCATCGCAGGCAGCCTGCCCGATGCCGGAAGTCCTCAGCCAGCCAGGGGAGCGGCTCGTGCGGAGCGAAAGGTGAGGCGGAGCAGCGAACGGTGAGGCGGAGCAGCGTGCGGAGGTGAGGCGTGCAGAGGGCCTCTATGGGGCGGGCCTCCCACTCCCCCTCTCTAGCGGGCGCACACCGCTCGAAGCGAGGGTCCTTCGCGAGTCGCAGCGCCACCCGGTACTTCGGCCCCAGCTTCTCGAGCTCCGCCATCACCGCCTCGGTGACGCACGGGACGACCTGCGGCCGGCCAAGAGAGCGGCAGACGAGGAGGGTGCGAGAAGGCGGTCCAGCGGGAGAGGAGAGCGCCGCGTGCGGCGGCGGGGAGAGGCGCGCGGGGATGGCAGCCGCGAGAAGGCGCCTTTGCGTATAGGCAGTCCATCAAGCTCTTCATGATGTCGAGTTTGTTCTGGATCGAAAAGTTGATGAAGTTGGTGTCGATCAGCACGTGGTATGGCGGACCCAGCGACATGTTGTGCGAGAAGAAGAGGGACGCCGGCGTCTGCGCCACGTTGCGAACCTCGGCATCCTTCCGCTGCCGCTCAAGCTTCGGCAACTGGTTCGGGTTCGGTGCTGGCTTCTTGATGCGCGCATCCTTCGGCGAAATCATCCGCTTGACCGCAGCGAAGGCCTTTGTCTTGCCCTTCTTCTGCTTGCCCATCGCGGCCCGTGAGGCGGGAGGCTTGTGCAGACGGCGCGAGAGGGGCAGGGCGCAGCTGTGTGCAACGTGCTACCGTTCAAGAAGAATTTTCGTGCGACTCATCTTCCTTCGGGGACACAGGATTCCAGAAATGGTTGTGTCCCCGCTCCTCGCTCGCCCGGGCGGAGGGCATGGCCGCGGAGGAGGCGAGTACGCGCTGCCAGGCCTTCCGCAGACAGCCTCTTGGCCAGACTGAGGGTCGGCTTTGTGTGGCGTGGCCCGTACGCTGCGCTGCACAAAGCTGCGTAAACTGCGGGAGCATCCTGTGCTTCCTTTGAGAAGTGCGCACCTCCTGCAGCTGGTGGAAGGCCGTGCCGCCGCTCGCCTGCTCCGTGGACAGGGCGGGGAGGCGGCGCCACAGCGCCGCAGCGTCCGCTGCACGCCGGTGCAGCACTCTGCTGCCTGGTGGGCAGCATGCTGGTGCTGTGCGCGGTGTTTGCGAGGCGGCTTTGGCGCTGTACTGCCAGCCGAGGCGAGTGGCGCGAGGCACGCGAGGCGCCGCGCGTGGCCCGGACGGCGCCAGAGAGCGCGGTCGATGAGCCAGCCGGCGCGGCGCGAGCGCCGTGCAAGCTGGCACATCGTCTGCATGCTGCCGTCGATTCTCTGGTCGACGGCGGTCAATCTCGCGATTGTCGATCAAAACCGGCGGGCTTTGTGACGCCGTTTACGCAATCGTTTTTTGGCCTCGCTTTCTCTTTTGCTTGGTTTTATTTTGTTTTTTCGTTTGCGAAGCGACAGAGGGGGGGGCGGGCGGGCGCTAACTACGGGCAACTACATGTCGAAGGTTCGAGGTCGACTACTCGCCGCCTGGGTCGTTTGGGGCGCGCGGCTCCGTAGAAAAGAAATTGGTTGCCCATTCCCGGAGGAGGACTGCTGACAGGGTTTGCGATTTTACAAGAAAACTCAGAAAAGAAACATCAACTCAGCCGACAGGCACGTCTAGGTGCGGACTGGCGCGTGTGCTGCTGCTGCAGTGCTGCTGCGTGCGCTGGCACACACACAACAACAAACAAATCTCTCTCACACACAGCATTCCTCACAAAAGAATTAAAGAATCATTCGGCACTCTCGTCGGGGGCTCGGGGGGCGGGAGTGTTTGATGAAACGCGGTGCCATAGAGGGGGCCTAGAAAAGGGGAGCTAGCACACAAAGCTAGGCGGCCGGCCGGTGCTCCTCAAAGAGCGAAGTCGAACCAAACACGTTGCCTACAAACACGTGCCGGCCTCCCGGAGAGCGCTCCTGCGGGCGCGGTGTCCGGGCTCCGGCGAGACCCCCCCCCCCGCGGAGCGCGCCGGTGGGCGACCCCGATGCGTCTAGCGATGCGTTAGACTAGCGTAACCTTTAGAGCCGTAAGCGTAACCGCCATTTTCCCAGCATTTTCCATATTTGGGTGTGTGCGCTGCCAGACCTAGTCCTATAGACGCCAGAGACGCCAGAGTAGAGCCGTTTCGCGTTTGGCTAGTTCCATATTTCACAGTGGCAGTGTGGCACAGCTCGCGTTACACAATCTTGATTTTGGTCATTTGCGCCATTATTTCGTACCTCTCGGTGCCTTCCAGAGGCAGCTGCGACCCCGCCGAGTAGACGGCTGCACACAGCAGGTGGCGCGGTGTGCAACCGTCCACTCGGCGGGGTCGCAGAGCTGCCTCTGCGCGTCCTGGGGAGGTACAAAAGTGTCGCAGGTCGAGCACGTTTCTATACGCTCGCCCAGCCTTCCTTTCCATCCCATTAGGCAGCCTGGGGACGGTGGCGAGCAGAGGCAAAGCCTACGCGAGGGGTGGTGGAACCACATGTCACGGCTACTGCCGGCTCGACCCCACGATAGCCTCCGGAGGCTGATTGCGGCACCATCATCGGATCGAATCGGACGATGTCGACGAGTTGGGTCGCTCTCGGTCGCGGTAGCCAGATGAGCTCTCGTTGTACTAACTAGGGATAATCGGTCATGGCCCGGCAGGGTCCAGGGAGCGCGGGGGAGGGCGCTGGGAGCAACACCGAGCTCCGTGTTGGACGTTTTCTCTCAAGATTAGCGTGTCAGAGTGAAATGGAACTAGCGTACTAGCCTTTTTACGAACTCGCAAGTTGAATCGATGTGGGACTTCTTTACGATATAAACGTGGGGTCTGTGGTGCTGGTGGACCTGGACGGGCCGCGGCGGGCCGCGCTCGCTCTATATGTGGAGGGGCCGTTTTCGTTATCGATATTAATACGAGTTCGAGGTACTCAAAATTAGAATTACGGACCGTTTAGAGAGACGCGAACGCGACTGTACCGGCCGATGAGGATGCGAGAGCGACTCATATCTCAGGACGGCCTCAATACAAGGTGCGTCTCTATGACCCGTCTACTACTGCGCGTACACTGGATATAGTGGTGGTTGCTCTCGAGGGGAGAAAGGCAGAGGGAGGGTTCGGAGGATTGACCCCAAATAGGGAGATGAGCAAGCTGCCCTTGTGGTGCAAGCACAACGCTATTGATCCTGAGCGAGGCGACGAGGCAGCGCAACGCTGCCCAGACTCGGCCGCTGCCCGCAGCGTCAACGATAACCCTCGAGGGCCCGTGCGCCGCGAGGGGCTCGACTCGCCTCAGAGAGGCTCCATCTTTCTCGCCTCTAGCTTTGGATTTGCAGCGGCAATCTGCTGCCGCTGCCGTGCCCGGTGGTCAAAGCTGCACTCGTGCGCGCAGAGGTGAGCCGCGCAGAATAAGCCGCCACAGTCGCAGGCATTCTGCACGAACGCCGTGAGTGTAGGCAGCCGCCGCCCGCACTCCAGGCATGCGGGCGGCTTGCGCATGGGCGCCGTCATTGCGGCCGGCGCAGCCGAAGGAGGACGCATGTCCGAGCTGCAGCCGTCCGGATCCACCCGGCCACGCCGCCTCGCGGAGGAGCGACGCTTGGTCGGCTTGGCCTCAGCGGCGGGAGTGTGCTCGACCGCGGGAGGAGCGGCGGAGCCCGCTGCCGCCTTGCCGGCCACGGAGGGGAGAGCCAGCGCGAGCTGCTCGACCAACGCAGCGCAGCGCTCCTCAAATAGGTCGTCGTGTGCAGCGGCGCCGGAAGCGAGAGGGAGTGAGCGCCGGCCCGACGGCCGTTGCAGCGTGCGAAGGCCGGTGCGTAGCGTTGCCGGGACCCCAGGCGGCGGCGGCGGGGTGGGAGGCGGCGGCGGCGGGCACATCGGCGCGTCGACTGCTCGCCTGGGTGGGTCCGGCCCGCCGACCGAGGCTGCAGCGGCTATGGGGTCTGCAGCCCGGTCGCCGTTGGCCTCCGCCTCCACCGCAGACCGCGAGATGAGGAAGACCTCGGACTCGTTGGGCAAGGCGTAGTCGGAGAGGAGCAGCTCCGGCCTCAGCAGCTGCCCGACGTGCCTCGAGAAGAGCGCCCCGTTGGCGTTGGGCTCGACTCCCAGCGACTGCTCTGCGACCCTGCACATCTCAGAGACGGTGCAACCGTCTTCAGGCTCCACCCCGTGCACGCAGCCGCCACACAGGTCGCGGAGGGTGAGCCGGCGGCGCATCGGTGGCGGCTGTGCGATTGCAAGCAGGCGCTCTCTCCCATCAGGCAGCGCATCTGCGACTGCAGTGTCGTCCACCAGCCTCTGCCCTCGACAGAGAAGCGTGAGCTCGCTGGCGGGCTCGCCCGTGGCGAGCGCGGCAGCTGCGCGAAGCTCGCGCACGGAGGCGGACCGGTCGACGGTCACCGAGTGCGTGACGCCGCCGAGGCGGACCTCGAAGCAGCGACCCCCTTTCCGCATTTTTCAACCCCGCAAGAAGGGTTTTGGATTTTGACGAACGCGCGAAAGAGAGAAATCGTCGCTATTTCTTTCTTCCCGTAACTACCTACCCACCTAACCTTCCCTATTGCCCACTCTTGTCCTTTCAGGATCCCCTTGCTCTGCAAGATGATGAACTGTGAGTGACCCCTCTCCTGGCATTCTCCCCATTTACTTCCCAGCTCTCTCTTCTGCTTCCACCTTCCTGCTGAGCACCTGAGCACTGGATAGGGCCGATTCCGCGTGGTACGGGACCCCTCGATCGTCTCGCCCTCCCTCACTGGTGTGTTCATCGGGGGGGGTCATAACAAACACGGTACAGGATCGAGGTGCACGCTGCCGAAGCAGTGTCGTCCCCCCTCTCCCCGACGGCGATGGCGGTGTGACCGATCGAGCTACAAGAGGAGCTTGGTCAGCAGGATCCGGGATAGTCAGATGCACTACCTCACTGGGCCTGAGACCATCGTACGACAGCATCCCGTCACCGTCTCGGATTTATGTGGGGTCGAACCACTCCGTGGTCGCCGTCTCGAAGCTGCCGCTGCTGGTCGGCGGCGACCTTCCCCCAGCCACCGCCGCCCATCTTGAGGTAGGAGATGTCGTCTCCCTTCCGGACGTGGAGGTCATAGGTGCCCGCCCCGTTGGAGGAG